AATTCCACATGTGTTCTTTCATAGTTTTGATGTTGTTAGTGTTAATCTACAATGTAGAAAATAATTAAAATAAATAAAAACCATTGAATGAGGTGGTGTGGCTAAACTTTTTGACTGGTATATTTGCTTAGACATTAGAGACGCAATACTTTTATTCACGTCAGAAATCGGATAAAAAGAAGAGAGGGGAAATCATGTCGTAACTCAGGGCAGTACCTATCTTTATCTGAATCAACGTTTCCCTTTTTCACTTATTTTCTTGAGATGACACAGCAGGCTCCAGCACGTTAACACATTTGTCTTTTTTTGCTGTAATAGTTCCTCTTAAGTATTTCACCAAAAGGGCAACAAGTGCAGTATGAATATTCTGTGCACAAATGCAACAATGATCATCAAAAAGTTGTCGACATTACTGCAGCAGCAACACAAAAAGTGTTTGTCACAGACTCTTCCGCTATGCTATAAGCACTGTTATAAAACTTTAGTTTGAAGGTGTGAAGGAGTGGCGCTAAATGAGCACAGTTCCTCTGCATGCATGAGAATTATTTTTTCTCAGCTATAAAAGGGAAATGTCATTTTGCACATATTGTGACAGTATTCAGTACTGACAGGCAGAGTGTTGAACGGTGCGTTCAAAAGCTGTGTGGGGGTTAATTGGTGTTGTTCTGGATAACACTGAACATTGTTTCACATCAGAATAAGCCAGATGTTTTAAGATTAACAATTTATCTAACTTTATACTTTGGTATTTACCCGTGTTGTTCTACAGCAACGTGACGTATCTCAGATGGAAATGTTACACCACCATACGTCTGCAAAGCGAAAACTGACAGGAAACCACTAGGCTTATCGGTTCATCTACAACCTTACAGAGGCACTGCAATGCAGTATTTCGACCTCATGTATGTTAACCCACCTAAGTAAATCAGTGTAAGTATTAATAATTGCCTCATTTCAGACTAATATACATTTACACAGTTTACAAAGTAGTAGGATAAGCATTAGATAAAAAAGCAAATAAAAGATAATTGAAAGAGAAATATACAGATTAAGCTCTCCTGACCTCATTGCAGGATGATGTTACAGACTAAACTCTTCCTGTTTTCGGTCAGTTAAGATTACCAAAATTATTTCTATTTTCTAAACGCCAGAATAACAACAGAAAGAATTTTTTAGAGATTTTTTTTTATTACTTTCTTCAAAGTCAGAAGTTTACATACATTTCCTTAGTATTTGGTAGCATTGCCTTTAAACTGTATGACTTGGGTCAAACGTTTTGGGTTTCTTTCCTCAAGCTTCTCGTAATAGTGGAATAGTGCTGGAATTCTGGCCCATTCCTCCTGACAGAACTGATGTAACTGATCAGGTTTGTTGGTCACCTCTTCGGTTCTGCCCACAAATTTTAGATAGGATTGAGATCAAGGCCTTGTGATGGCCACTCCAAAACATTGACTTTGTTGACCTTACGCACAACTAATTTGAGGTGTGACTTAAAATACATCCGCAGGTGTGCCTCCAATTAACTCAAATGTTGTTAATAAAACTATCAAAAGCGTCCAAAGCCATGACATCATCATCTGGGCTTTTCCACATAATTTGAAATCATCGTAATCTTAGTGTAGGTAAACTTTGTGTAGGTAAAAGTTTAGTCTGATTTAATCAGACAATGAGGGGAAAAACAAAGGTTATACTGTATGTCTTTTTATACAGTGTATGTAAATTTCTGGTTTCAACTGTATACCACTAACAAGAACCTGCCAGTAAACTTCTGTTTGCACTCATGAGTTTAAGCCTAGCCATATGTCTGAACACAGTTTAAATCCTGGCAGATACAGTATGAAACAGTACCCTGTTTCAGATGCTGGCCTCTTGTAAAAGAAAGGAAGCTGAAGGGGGGAAAAAAGGGAAATGGAAATGTGTCAATAAACTCATTTTCAGTTTGTTAGTTCGTTTCCATCAGTGGAAATGTTACTCAGGGACAAGTTGGCAAGAAGACAAACAGTTAAATATTCTGTCCTTATTTCACTAGTTTGTCCATCTTTGTCTTTCTGCTTTCATCTCCAAACAAGAACTGCACAGTGGGTCAGTGGGAACTAACAGCTCTGTCAGCACTCGTCTTATGTGGTTCATAAACCAAAAGGCCAGCAGTTTGCTTAAACATGAGCCAACTACTGTATAGTGAATGTTTCACACATGGTGTGGTGGGGCAACACTTTCCAGCATGCACCATCCAGCCATTTCTAAAAATATTTTCACAAGCTTTTCAAAACTATATTTTTCAAGCTGGGCTGTCCATGGCTGCTGGAGCAAGAAAAAGAATAAAAATCTAACAGCCATTGATAGCCATTATTAAAGTCACTTTTACTGCGTGTGGAATGACTTCAACATTATTCCACACTGCAGAAGCCATAATGGTTACTTCACCGGTGTGACAGCTCTGGAAATATTCACTGATGCACTTCAGATCGCAGCTTTCATTAAACACAGAAAAATCTGAGTAACAGTCGTCAGTGTGAGACACAGACACCACAGTTAGACCAGACTCCATTCTGACCTTTTTGTTCAGGGTATGTCAGGAAGTTGTTGAGACAGCTGGGCAACATTGAGGTCCCTCCTCATTGTTTGAGAATTCAGAAAGAAACTAAAAGAAAACAAACATGGCCAACACAAAACACCCAAAACTCTATATGTATACTATCTTGGTATGGGCAGGAAGAAGGTCGTGAGATAACAGGATAAGCCCTGGATGCTTGCCACAATCATACTGGCTGGAAATCACTCTTTGTAAAAGAAGCCAAAATTAAACTGTAGCAAGGCGGTCAGCCAGCTCAAGTGGAACGGACTCATCACTTGAATACAGAGTATGTGCGAAGGTGATACTTGGTGTCTGGGCTTTGACCTCATTATTCCTTGCAAGGATTTACCATGCTAGGCACAGATTTGACTCAAGAGTGCATATAATATCCTTCCCTAGTAACATCCTTAAACACGGAGCCTGACATTGATCACGATGTGTGGGCCAGTCACATTACCTCTCAGTATAAAATAGGACACCTTACCACAAAGGATGTGTTCATATGTTGCACTCAGTCAACTGTTTTATTATTTGCGATCCCTTGTCAATCACTTCTAATAACACTGTAAATAAACTGTAACATTTTGCAGCCTCTATTTAAGACTTGCATAGCTGTATGAAAAGTACAGTAGCATGTATTGTATCTGTCATACTGTACTCTTGGATTATTTATTACCATTTCCATCAGCACTGCACAGAAACTGCTGTGGGCTCAAGCTGTCACCATAGAACGGGGCACTGAAAAATCACTAGTCACCTCACATAGTACAGCATGTGCTGTAGGTTTGTATGTTCCAGGAAACATTTGCTGGTTCAACTCCAGTTCCACTTTTTGTTCTCTGTGCAGTACATAAATATTGTCTTTATGAAAGTGGTTATTACTGTCTAAAGTCACAGGGTGCTTCATGTTGATTTTCACAGACACCTTTACACTGCTTTCAGTCTGTGTTTCATATTGCTTTTACTCTACTCAGAATACAGAGCTGACACAAAGACGATGCTGGAGCACAGAAAGGTACATCGCTCATAACTGTTGCTAAATGTTCCATGTTTGCATGATGGTTGTTTTGAATGAACTTGCTGAGGTAGAATATTGTAAAACATATTGTTCTAAGTAGTTTCTCCAGATTGAATTTGAGCTATTTGATTCTACAACCTGACTTTATTAGTTCAGATGGAGTGTGCACTAAAATCCCTTTGGTAACAAATTAACAATTTCTTCCAAAAACAAATTTAGGTCACACACATGCATAGGCACAGGTTGTGTTCTGTTGTTTGTTTGTTTTATATACTTTATAGTAATGTTGATGCATTTCTACATCCCTCCATGAGCATACCATGTGGTACACCAATGGTCCCCAAAGGTCTGCAGTCTGTCACCTCTGTGTTCCCAGACCCACCAAGCTCAAAGTCCGATTCATTGTTTTAAAGTGTGAGACAATACAACAACCACCCTGCCTATAAGTTATCCTAAATACAGTGTTTTCAGTCCTGAAAATAATCTTGCTACTGGAAACTGGAAACCACCTAAAATGCAACACTTGGTTTGGTTTGCTCTGATAAACACCTACAGAATGATGCCATTTCCTCTGATGTTTGGTTGCTGAAGCAACCACACTGGTTTGCATACAGATGAAGTCAGATATAGCAGCAGTGACACCTTTTAATGCAAGCGTAGCAATCATCAAACATGTGAGGAGGTGTGAGGAACCAAAGAACATTATGTCCCTTCCTGGTGTATTTGGTATCAGAAAGTTGTGTTGCTCAATCTTGGTTTGTAGAAGCAGATGGAAATCTGTTGTTCCTCAGTAAGCATTATTCCATGACCTGAGCAATTTACTTCATCTGGGCCTTTATTGAATAGAAGTACAGTAGCCCTGCCTTCAGGGAATTGGGAATTACATACAGGCTATACTGCACTGTGTGGGAAAAACTTAATGGTAGAGGTTTTCCTTGCTTAGCTTTTTTTTTCTAAATGAAGCTCAATGTTGTCACAATCGTTGCATTGTCTCAGAGAGAGGCAGGCAGAGGCAAAAGCCATATATATGTCATCATCATAGTCAGCAGGCTGTGTGCCTTATGGGAGGGTATTGCAGCCGGCAGGAATTGGTAAAACAATGACCAGTCTGACAATTTAAACTCCATTTAACCCCATGTCGGTCCCTTAATCACAGAGTCCAACAGTAGAGAAAGACGTCAAACAACACTGTTAGCTAACACATTGCTGTCATGGATCTAAAATCAATTGAGTTAGCATAACTGTTTCCTCTCACCCCACCCCAACAAGAAAAAGAGTTACTGAAAACTAACTTCTGGCTGTGCTCCTCCACAAACCTCTGTGTCAGAGGCGTGATTCAGAGAGAGAAACCCCTCCTCCAAAAATCTAGTCATCTCAGCGTGCTGCCTCAGTTGTGAGAGCAGATGAAGATTCAAAGGGAAGAGGTAGACAGGGACAGTGAGAGAGAAAAAAGGGAGAGGTCATTCTATGTGATGGGAAACATTCTACAAGATCCTATCAACTTGTAAAATTTGCTCTTGCTGGTATCGGTACATATTTTAACTACTTTTTCCCGTACCCAGTAACTTAACTGTTGGATTCAGTTTTTACAAGTTATAAAATTAACTGGGGGAACTTAGAAAAAAGGCAACGAAGGCAAGAAGAAAAGAAAGCCGGACCATCTGGATGTAGAGGATTCTGAAGTTTATGTTTTGGTTGTTTTAACTTTCCTTATACAGATCTGGACACTGTTTGCTTCTTTACCATGATGGGCAGGTGGAACCTCCTGATACTGGGTAAGTCACATCTGTCATCCATTTGCAGAGTAGTTAAAATGGAAAATCATCTGCTTTAAGTTAAAAAAAAAAAAAAAAAAGGTGTGTGCTTTGAAAAAGGAAACCAAGTGGTTTTACTACCTTACAGACTTTTTAGAATAGGTATTTATGTATGTGTCCTGTGTAGAAGAAAATCTGTGAAGACATTTTACTTACAAAAAAACAAAAAAACAAAGCAAATGTGGCATAACTGTCAATTTAGAAGTTTTTAAAATGTCTTGTACTAGTCACTTATATGTAATAATGTTGATTTTTTTGTTTTATTACTTTGTTTAGTAACTTTACACTGAGATCAAGTCAGCCAACTATCTTATCAATAGTTTAACTAGTAGAATTAAAGCAGTGAAAATATGTGCTTCATTCGATAATAGCAGCAGAATCTAAGACCCTCAAACTTGAATGTGGGAAAGGGCTCAAATAAATTAGAAGATATAAAAAGAGAGAGATGCTGAACACTGCAGCTTTTCTTCAAACAGCCCGCTTATCAGGGTGCTACTGCACAGAGGACCTCTGTTCCTCTACTTTTATAGTGATATTTTTACACTATGAGCTCATCTCACAGCACCCGCGTAGCTTGTTGCCTGATAATAACCACAGTCACATGCAGCTACATTCAGAGGAGGAACTCTGTTGCCATGCCACTAAGCAACAACACAGAGAGGTTCTGACTTCTACACGACACTGAGATTTCATTCATAACAACATAAGAAAGCCATTTCTCTTCACAGATAAGTTTTACATCATGTAAATTTGTTCCTGCATACATTATTAAAGCTTGATTTTTACTCCTGCGTTGATTCCACACACAGTTTATGCAAGTTGCCTACGTTGTTGTGAGCATTTATACCTTTGTGCTAGCGGGTCTGTGTCGCTTTGCAATTACACAGCCAAAACGCCAGTAAGCTGTGGGGTTTCTCTGCCGCTGTGCTGAGTTTCTCCTTAAGGCGGTAATTAAATGGTCAATTCTTCCAAATCATCAAAAACATGTTGTGCTTTCCCGCTTACCCACAGTGGTTCTGCATGCAGCCAACAGTTTTTACAGGCAACTATTTCCTTCCAAAGGAAAAAAAAAAAAGCTGGAGGATGTGTTTTTATAAAAGCCAAAAAGAACTGATGTGGCAGCAAATATAGGCTACCTGAGCAGAATGAAGAGACCAACGATGGATTAGTTTATTTTAAGTATTATGATAAATTTGACATAGAGGCTGGTAATGTTAAAGTATACTGGGGCTTTCTTCCTGTTTTTATACACCGTTTATTACACCCATCTGGTGTCATTCAGGAAACCTCAGAGAACTGACTCTGCACTCTTTCAACATGCTACTTTGTGCTTCTGCCATGTCAGATGATGTTTCCTCACACATAGGAAGTGCAGTTCTCCCTATGTGCTAATCGTTTTGAATTTTGGTGCAGATGCTGCTGGAACAATATGAGGAAATGAGGGCAGAGAATAAGGGCCTGTTCTTGCAGAGCCTGTATAATATTTCTGGTGTTACATGTGTCGTTAAATTCACCTTTTGATTTCCTTGCAGCAACACCAACATATTTTATCGTGGTTTTTAAAAAAAGATTCAATTTGATGGCATTAATGTTTAAGAGGTAATGAGTGATGAACTGCACATGACTGACAGCTCCCTGCTTGCTTTTCAGCTCTGTTCCTCTCCCTCACCATGGTCTCATCTGAGTCAGAATGCCAGAACGGATATAGTTTTGAAGATGAACACTGCAAGGGTATGAAAAACAAACTTATCTTATGTTTAATCATTCATACAACAGTATGCATCTTATAGTACGTGTGCAGCTTTCCTTTATGTATGCTATGTATATGTATAGTATGTACAGACAGTACATATAGTTTGTTAATTCATTTTTCTCCAGTGTGAAAGGTTTGGGCTCCAAAAGCACCTATTAATGTGGTATCCATCTTTTTTCACATTCCTTCTTGAAGATATTGATGAATGTGCTGTTGACGAAGACTATCCTGAAAGTGATGGGGATTGTGGAGAAAATACGCTCTGCTTTAACACAATCGGCAGCTTCTACTGCCGATGTGCTGACGGTTTCAGCTCATCACCACATGCTGAGAATTTTGCAGCTGACTCATCTGCAACATGTAAAGGTAAGACATCTTGAATCAATGATGGCAGAAGCTCTGATTCATGTTGACAAAACCTTATTTCTTTAGTTGGAAATGCAACATGACAGCACTGTCCTTACCCTTTGCTTTAAGATATCAACGAATGCTCGGACAGCAAAGACATCTGTGGATCTAATGCCACATGTTTCAACACAATTGGCAATTATTCCTGCATTTGTGATGATGGATTTGTTTCTACTACTGGAGTGGAAAGATTTTATCATGGTGATGGTGTGACGTGCAGAGGTAACACGCTGTTCTCTTCCTGTACTGCAGTGTTCCTGTGATTCATTTTGTGTTTAGTTTGATGGCTGGTGGTTTAATAATGATTTTCTTTTTCACTTAAATGTCTTCTTCCTGCTAATTTAGATCGAGATGAATGTGATGACAAAAACATTTGTGGTCAGAATGCAGCATGTGTCAACACACAAGGCAGTTATCACTGTGTCTGCAATGCTGGCTTCAGACTGAAATCTGGCAATACTATCTTCTCTGGAAATCAGGAGCAATGTGAAGGTGAGGGCTATAACAGAATGCACCAAACGTGCACCGACTTGACTTGTTGCTTTAGTTGCCAGCACTATTTTGAATATGAACCCTCTAGTGCACCAGGATATTTATTGTTCCATCGGCCCTGACTGAAACACAGTGTAACCATTTTCCTGCCCCGATTTGTTTCCATTTTAGACATATGTCAGATTGATAAGACAATCTGCGGAAATGGAACCTGCCACCTTGGAGCCAGTGGTCATTACTGTGCATGCCATGCAGGATTCACTAACTATGGCAACAAAAAGTCACGCTGCTCTGGTAAGAACCCAACAGCATTTAAGCTTTTCTGGCATCCATCGTAATCTGATGTTTTCCTAGTAAATACATAAACACAACATTTTCTGCTGACTGTGGTCATCAGTGAGCACATTTAATGAAATAAGCTTTCTGTTTCCACAGCACTGAGCTGTGATGTTTTCCAAGATACGAACAATCTAAAAGAGGTAAGTCCACTCCACCCGCTGTCTGCATATATTCAAAATGTTTATTGTCACACACTTTTGTTTCATCCTCCCCTAATTCCTTCCAGATAATTCCTGTTTCTCATGATGTCGTGAGGCAGCTGAACAAAAGTTGTCTGGACCTCACAGAGAGTGAAAGTCCAGAGGAGCTGGATGGGATGGACATGCTAAGGGTACAAATAAATTAATAGAAATGAAAAAGTTCAAGTTCTTCATGAGCAAAACAGAAACAGGAAGTCTTCCCCCCTGTGCACAATACTGTAGACTGTTTATGTTGACCTGAGGTAGTGTGTAGCCTGAAAGTCTGCCTCAGTCTGACTCTGTTTCTTTTTTCTCCCTGCACACACTTATGTCACTGCCTCTCCCCCTCCTCTCTGTTGGCTGCAGAGACTGCTGTCCGTGATGGACGAGGTCTTGTCCAAGGGAGCCCTCAATGATAACAGGAAAGTCTCCACCTTTCTGGACTTGGTGGAAGAAGCTCTGAGGCTCATAGGACCCTTCATAAACTCTCCATGGACATATATACTCTCTAATCACACAGGTTAATGATTCGATTAAATAGAAATGAGCATAAAGTAAAAGATCATTATTTTGCCTCATTCACAAAGATGTGCACACCTCGGTCTTAGCTTTTTTCTACGTTTAAAAATACTTTGCTTCTCAAGGTGTTTGCACATGTTCAAATCTAACATATTTTTACCAGTAGCTGATAGATTCATTCATTAGTTTCCTATTATTCAAAGTATTAACAGACAAGCAGTGCATGTTCACACAAAGTTTGTGTCTGTTTCTGGGTCCAGAGCTGCAGCATCTGCTCCATACAGGATCTGTCATTCCCCAAGGAACTAAAACTTTTTCATCTGAGCAAGCTCAGCTGGACATCCAGTTGGAGATAGCTGCTGGAGAGCCTTCCTATTACCCTGGTAATAGTCATGCCTAGTAATAACATATTTGTAACCACTTTCATTAAGACGTTCGATTTCCAAATTTAACAAATGTCTGCTTAATGCAGTGTTGTTCTGCTGTTATGTTAACAGGCTTTACAACGGTGTCCCTGCTGAGCTATTCAAACCTGGAAAACTCTACAGATGGCTTCTTTGGTGGGATGAAACCAGAAAAGGACCAGAGTTTTAAAGTAAACTCCAAAGTGGTGACTGTCATTGTCAGTAACAGCAACACAAGCCACCTCAAAGAGGACATCAAACTAACTTTGTACCACTTGACACAGGTAAGGAAGAAAGACCATTTCTTGCATTTGTTGTTTCAGTTTATGCAATTTACCCTTGTAAGACAATTATTACCTGATGGTCATTTACTCTGTTCACTTATTTGTTTTACAGTCAAATCAAACTTCCCACACCTGTGTGTTCTGGGATTCCTCAAAGGAAGGAGGGGCATGGTCTGCTCATGGCTGTAAGGCGTTGGAGTCCAATGCGAAGTACACTGTCTGTTCCTGTAACCATCTGAGCAGCTTTGCTGTGCTCATGTCCCTCTCTGAGATGGAGGTTAAAACCTTGTATACACACTATGATTTAAACTATGTACTTCAGTATTTCTAATCTAAACTTTAATCCAGCTCTGTGTGCTGTAATGAAAATGTCCTTTCTCTCTCTTAACAGGACAGGTTTGAGTTGAAGCTGATAACCTGGTTGGGTCTGTCCCTTTCTTTGATTTGCCTGCTCATCTGCATCCTGACATTCTCAATGATCCGCTCCATCCAAAGCCCAAGAACCACCATCCACCTTCACCTCTGCATCAGCCTCTTCATTGCTAACGTGATCTTCCTTGCAGGCATCTCTCAAACAGAGAATCGGGTAAATACTAAAACAACTTGCTGCCCAGATGATGGCAGTAAAGGTTCATTCTACCTTCACATAAACCAGAGGAATGGATCATAAGTCACAGCACAGCTACTGAATGTTTTATGTAGGGGCGAAAGGTGTATAAACAACAACTCAGCAAGTTCTTTTTTCCTGTGTCTTTTTCCCCGTTTTTTTTTTTTTGTTATCCTTTGCCCCTTTTTCACTTCTTTCATTTGATCCTTATCTCTCTCCCCTTTAGGTTGGCTGCGCTGTGGTAGCAGGGATGCTGCATTTCTTCTATCTGGCAGCGTTTTGCTGGATGTGTCTGGAGGGCATACAGCTCTTCAGGATGGTAGTTTTGGTCTTTAACACCAGCTTTAAAACCCTCTACATGATGGCAGGTGGATATGGAGTGCCAGCTGTGATTGTTGCTGTCTCTGCCTTAGCTAACGCCGAGGGATACGGCACTAAGAGATAGTATGTTCCTGCTACTGACATTCATTTTCTTTTATTTATAATTTAAACTTGAGTCTCAATTTATATTGAAATATAGTCTGCTCAATAAACTCTCAACATGCATTTCAGTTGTTGGCTAAAACTGGACCTCATTTGGAGTTTCTTTGGCCCCGTCTGTGTCATCATCTCTGTAAGCATTTAAGAAAATTAGTATTAAGTTAAATGTCCCTGAACTTGACTTAACTTCTTTTCAACCTCATCTCTGTTGTCTTTTGTCAGGTAAACATTTTCTTCTTTCTCGTCACTGTGTGGAAATTGGCACAGAAGTTCTCGAGTTTAAACCCTGACTTGGACAAGCTGCAGAAAATAAAGTGAGTCACCATTAACCCACGCAATCAGACACACTGTAATATGAGTTAATTTTACTATATGTAGGGACTTTTTTTTTCTTTCCCACCAAGAAAAAAACGAAGAAATGACTCACCATTCCTCAACAAGTGTAGGTCAAAGTAAAGGTCAGAATATTATAGTGCCTCTGAAATGACCTGTATGAATCTTTGTTGCCTCCTGCAGGGCTTTCACCATTACTGCAGTGGCTCAGCTGTGTGTCTTGGGCACCATGTGGATCTTTGGTTGTTTCCAGTTTGAGGAGGGCACTGTAGTCATGTCTTACCTCTTCACCATCTTGGGTAGCCTTCAAGGGGTTATGATCTTTGTCATGCACTGTCTGTTTTCCAAACAGGTTTGTCATGTTACTTTAAAAACACACAAACAAACACACACACACACACACATACTCCTATCTCTTCTGGCGTCAAAACTCAATTTGTCTTCTGGCTCTAGGTGAGGGAAGAGTACGGAAACATCCTGTCCAGATTCTGTGCACCTCAGAAGAAGAGCTACTCAGAGTTCAGTTCATCCCATTCCAGCAAAGCACATGTAAGCAGTTATTTATATTTCACTGCTTGGGTTCTTGGCTAAATATGGGATGCCTCCATTGTTCTCCAAACAACAGTAAATTAAATCCAACATTTACTATGCACATGGACAACATAGCTTAACATTTGATCTGTGATAGGAACGCTATAACTTAAGTCACCGCAAATTTATTTAGCACACATGCGAAAGCAAACAGCCGATTATTTTACGTTTTGAAGATGATGAGGTATTCTGGGCAATGTAAAGTCAAATGTATTGTATCTTTGTGACAAAGCAAAGTCTGTTCTGATAATCAAAGCACACTTAAAGTGTTTTTTTATGACTGACTAAACTATCTCTCTCATGCATCATCCTCAGGCATCCAAGAGCACCGAGCACACAGGAGAGTCTCACATTTGAGGAGCTGAACAGTGACTTGGGAGAAAGTCTGATTTGCTGAAGACTGCCACGTCAGATATACAGTCAACTACTGCTCTCCCATTTATAGAGAATGTACCAGTTTCCTTTACTGCAAAATGTCGTAAATAGTTTCGTTCATTACCACGAGTGGGTCTTAGACAATTAGATTATCTATTGAACTAAAATCATTATAAACTAATGCAAATTAAGGATGAAAAAGACTTTTGACATTATTACCGTAATGCAGATTATTATATTCATCTAAAGCTGTTAACATTACAGATGATTAAAGTCCACAATGTGCTTTACTTTCATGCAAATAGCTTTTTTTCTAAAATAAATAAAAAAATTAATTAAGCTTAGATAAATAAATCCACCAAAGATCTAATTTTTTACAGGAAAACAATATTTGCTGATTTTGGACCAGAATGGTTGTGACCTTGAAAAAACCTGTTGGATCAGGTACACATAATAATGCTTGTTGTGTCTTCCAGGTACTTTATTGAACCAGCAAAAACAATCAGAGAAATGTTTCTGACACAAGCACTTTCTTTATTCCACAATCTTTAAATTGTTACCATTTAATATGACCCAAAATACAAGGACAAGTATAAGACAGAGATATATTTTTATTGTATGTTTGTGTATATATTGCTGGGCAATTCAATATGTATATATATTTGACGGCATTCCTGCTCTATGTATTTTATCTAAATATTTAAGAAGAGTTTGTCTGTTACCAAGATGTTCAGATGAATGTTTTAAAACTGGAATTTCAAAGATGACTTTAGTTATTATTGTATTGTGGAATATTAGTATAGTTCTAGACATTGGTTTTGATAGATTAAAATTATTAAACTTTGCATTTCCAGTTTACCTGTTGTGTCATTCCTGGTGTGAAATATTTTATATGATGTTTTAAATATTTGTAAGTGTTTTCATCTTTTCTCCTGGGAGCTTTAAACTAAATAAATATTTTTGATGTACCTCATGTTTAAGGCCTTTGTTTGTGGTCTTTCCACTGCTGGCTTAAGTTGTTTGATTTAATATGGAGAATAAACAAGCAATGAAAATGGTAGTTTTTATGTGTTTGTGTCAGGGTTTCAGAGTTGAAAATGTAAATCTTTCAACAAAGTTTTGTAACAGACCAACAGAAAGTAAATGCCAAACCTGTGCAATGATATTTTCTTTCTGTCCACCTTCATGTTTGACATCCAGGACTTGCTGGCTTGACTTAAAAGACAGAAACAGTTGCACATACAGAGGAAATGAGAGACTTGCTTCTCTTCCTTCCTGTTTATGTGAGATTATGAGCATGATGGCCTCAAAAATAACTCTTTGAGTCTAGAAAATGGTACTTGAATTTTAACAAGCAGACAGGAAAGCAGGTTTACTCTATAACACTCTATAAAGTATCATTACAGATGCAGTCTTTAAACATGTCAAATCTTAGAAGAGTCAGTGTCAAAGCAACTTTTGGTTTACACTCTCCTTCTTGGAACACATTTATCAGTTTCAGCTGCAACATTTTAGTTATTTTCTAAAATGTCTGTCATGGTGATGTTTAGTATATTCTAGTGAATACTTGCGACCTTTACTCATGCTCTTCCAAATTCCTCTGATAACTTTTGTTTATGTAGCTATGGATAGTCATAGTCGTAGCCCCAGTTGAAGTTATATCTCTTTTTGTTTTGAGAAAGACAAGGTTAGCAACAGCTCACTCTGCATATGAGCATTCAGCCATTTCGCCAGCAGTGGATCAATACTACACTCTGCTCCGATGGATCAACAAACAGGATGAATAGATGGAAGGAACACATCCAGGCCAGGAAGGAGAATGGAAAATGCAGGTCTACTACGTTGAGATAAAATAGCAGCCAACTCTCAGGAGAGAGGGGGGCGAGAGAGACAGCCGGACCGGGCAGAAAGAGAATCTGAAAGAGAATAAGCGCAAATGATTGTGGACAAGAGTGATAGCTGAAGGTGGGAATCAGACAGCTCTGCAGGCAAGAAGCACATTCATTCTTTTATTTATTCTAAGGAATCTAAAACAATCCAGTGTTCATCTGGAGTCATCTAGGGGTAAGTGTCCTTTAATACTCCAAAACATTTGAATGGTAAATAACTAGATAGCATGCTATGCACATTCCACTCCAATAAGATATGAGTTTAAGTGAAGCTGAAATGCAAAATGTAAAGAGAAGGCATGTGTATGTCTAAAGACTTGGAGCTGTAGGAAAGCTAGGATTCCTCATTGACTGGTGATTTAGGTTGTTTTTGTACCTGAATTGTTTAGAAATGTTTAGTTTTGTTTAAAAAGCACACAAAAGATGAATAAAACTAGAGATTCAAATCTGCAGTGTTTGAAAAACAACATGGTATACAGTATGTGTCTGAAGAATTTCCATAGTAAACCAAACCATGGTTGACTGCTCCTGTTTGTTACATACTCTCTCAGTGCTGAATAAAACACCGGGATTCCTGTAACTCATGTAGTTCCTCTATAATTTCTCACACATAAAGAAATAGCTTTTCTCTATGTAGGTGTACTCAACAGAAACCTCAGCAATTTTTGTGGAGATTGACAACAAAACAGATAAGCAACAAACCCAAAGGGCAAATCAAAGCATTTTGCATTTTCATGCTACCCCACCAGAAATTATCAAACCAGATCTCTTCTTATATAAAGCAATGTCAGTTCTTGGAAACTTTTGCCATTGGGGGTCTCTTCAAAGATTTCTATCTGTATATTTAATAAAGTCTATTCACATTACTGCTGTGTGGCACCCATTCTGGAGTGAGAACACATTTAACTGTTACAAACACCAAGCCTAGTGTCACAATAGGGTGAAAATTGCTTATGCAAATTGTCACACCCTGCTGCTTAAAGTTTAATGACATATATCAAGTACCAAAACAAAGATAAGACTGTTGTGCCAAAATTGCTGTGCAAAATTATAATTGAGTTTAGTTTCACACTGTGCATGGTTTCAAGCTAAACTGGTAATTAGCTCAAAAAATAGGTGAATGAATCCCAGTTGTTACGTATCCCTCAGCCTAAAACAACTCTCGTCCTCCCATTTGAACAGACATACACAGTGAGGTATCATCACAGTTTATCCCAAACCTCAATACCAGCAGGAATGAAGTAATGAGTTAGAAAACGTCAAGCAAGGAGTTGTTGAGCAGACTTTCCAGAGAGGGTGAAAAATAAATGAGCAAAGGGGACCTATGGCAGGCGAGACGTCTAAAGACAGGAAACAAACGTGTTCAAAAAAACCCTGAATTTTGTGAAACAGGCATGAAAAGCCTGTTGTGCAAATCGCTAAAAAATTACTTAAGTTCCTTTTATGTCCAAACCACGACGACAGCAAACTTCGATAAACGTTCGATAATCCTGTCTTGAGAGTATCCGCTTGGCTAGGATCCATAAAGTATGTCCCGGAGTCAAACCTGATCCGGGGACTTGCTGCACACTGATCTTTCACATGTAATATCCATGAACAGTCATGTTTTTGGAAGTTTCCATTTGTTCGAGTGTACATGTTCATGTATTCCAGGCAAGCACTTAATGCATGGTCTTGCATTCAAGGCAGAGACTGAAAACGCTGGGGAAAGGCTCTGGCAGGGTTTCATCCACTCCTCTTCATTACTGCCTGGGCACAAATGGCTCTTCTAATTAAGGTCTAAATCCCAAGTGTGACTGGCAAACCACTTGTTGTAATGAGCCTTTGAGCTAGCATTCGAGTGAAGCATGTAACATAGCATCCGTTGGTCATGATTTTGTTAAGACTTCTCCATTGTCACGCTGTCTGTTACGTTCTTGAAAAACCATTTGGATGCCAGCACAAGTTGGCATAAAAATATTAGCAAATAATATACTTGATTTGAACTAATGCACATATTTAAATTTTGCCTGCACTTCTCTATAGATGATTATGAAGATGATGGCAGTTTCTTCAGCTATGACTTCATTTCCTACCTCCTCTTCATCACCCATCGTCCACCAGAACCTGAAGATCAACTCCTCTAATCAGCCAAGTCTCTGGCTGAACAACACCTCACCATTTGTCCAACCTTCAGGTTTAGTGATATCCTGCTTCACTATGATATTCGGCGCCATTTCCAACCTCACTGCTCTGGGGATACTGGCAAAGACTCATGTTAGATTTCGTCGCCGATCCAAAGCACCATTTCTCCTACTAACAGTCGCTTTGCTTTTGGCTGACCTGGGAGGTCATGTGGTTCCAGGAGCCTTTGCATTATATCTGCACGTAGATCAGAGGCATAAAACACAAACTGTGAAGCCCACCAGGGTATTCTGTCAAATCTTTGGAGCAAGTATGGTGTTTTTTGGCTTATGCCCTTTGTTGTTGGGTTGTGCCATGGCAGTGGAGCGCTGTGTGGCCATCACTCAGCCATTTTTCCACGCCTCTATGATTACAGTGGCTCATGCACGAAGAGCTGTGGTATTTATTTCCTCTCTTGCACTTGTGCTGGCTGTTCTACCTCTGTTTGCTGTGGGAACTTATACCACCCAGTCTCCGGGCACATGGTGTTTCTTGCCTGTCCATGATCCACAGTCTGCAGCGGACACTTGCCTAGTGGTGGCCTTTTCAAGTCTGGGCCTCGCTGCACTCACTCTTTCCCTGCTCTGCAACATCTTGAGTGGTCTGGTGCTGCTGCAGACCAGAATGAAGACCCACGATGTCAATACAAAACCTGCAGTTCGCTGTGATCGTCGCACATCATCTGCATCAGCTTCCTCCTTATTTTGTTCGTTGGACGTGGAGATGATGACACAACTGGCTGCGATTACTGTAGTTTCCTGTGTTTGCTGGAGTCCCTTTCTTGTGAGTTTGAAGAATTTATTTCTACAACTATTTTTAGAATATTAGATTTGCAATTAGATTGGATGAAGTGTGACTTGCACCTCACGAGCAATTATGTTTCTTCTGCCTTATAGATCCACATTCTTGTGATGCAGCTCAAACACAGCCACAGGGCTTCAGCTCCTGTGAAAGATGAGCTGCTTCTTGTGGGCTTACGTCTGGCCTCCTGGAACCAGATCTTAGACCCTTGGGTTTACATCTTACTCAGGAGGACGGTGCTTTTCAGAGTTTGCTGTGGTGTCTACACACAGAGAAACACTGTGACGGCAAACAGCTCCTGCGCAGACACACGCAGACAAGCCTTCACCTTGCAATGACTGCATTTCACTTTCACTTTTCTCTGATGCAATATCTCCCTTTTTTTGTTTGTTTGCTTTTTGTTTGTTTTATTTTTTCATTTGTATTATAAAAATATATGTGTGTAAATGTTGCTTGTATTTTTCTGTTTGGTCAAGTTAATATTTTGCAAACCTTAAAGTGGTGGTGTCAATAAGATTTTTATTTTATTTTTTTAAAGATTTAAACAGCTACTCGTGGCTGCTCAGTGCTGCTGCCGATATCAGTCGCTGCCACCTGCATATCTGACGGTTGGGCAACTGGGCGGGATTAACTGTTGTCCAATCGAAATCGAGAAAAGCTTGACAAGCTTTGAGCTCAACGAATAGCTGAGCCGCTGGTCCCCGTGGTGGGCGGTGCTTCTGTGGCAGTGACTCTATTCAATATGGAGTACAGAAAATAGCCTGATTCACTCTGCATTTCACTGCTAACACACAGATTTCCAGCAGTTTTGCCACACGGGCACCGTCTACAAAACCTCCCTCGCAGATGCCAGCCGACAGGACTCGTTAACGTGTTTTTTGGACTTTAGCTAGTTCGAATGTATTCCGCTAATTACTTCACAACAACCGCTGTGACACTTTTTTAAAAACTACGAGTTTCCACGAAAACGCTCCACCGTAGCTCCTGTCGACGAGGACGGCGTCAAGTTGACGGTAGTTTCCGATAAACTTCGCAGCTCAGAAGTTGTGCCGACCGGCGGGGTTATCGGGTGAAAGGTGACATCGCTTCAGTGTACTGACTCGTAGGTAAGTTGTGAGTTAAATGTTGTCATCAGTGATAGTTTGTAACCCTGAGTGGAGCCTGTTTGTGGGAACTGCTCGGAGGAGAGCTGGATAACTTTAGTGATTCTTTAAAGCTCTTTGTGACATGTTAGCTGCTATATTAAAAAACAAAAAACTTTCCGGTGTGTACTTGTGTGAACCGGCCCGCACTACCCTCCTTCAGTCTCCTGAGTATGTAACCCTTAGCTCAAGCCCACTCTTTTGTAAAAGCCCATCTTTCTCCTACTTTTTTTTTACTCCGTGACAGGAATGCACAATGCGGCGAGTGTCTCAGCCTCTCTGGGGTCCGTGGGACTGTTGCGCCTCTTCGGGGTGTCCTGGCCCTGGAGTCTGGTAGCAGGCCTTGGGGTTTATCTGGGCACTAAAACCTGGAAATACTTCTACATTGCAGCACGCACTGCCAAGAGGGACCTCAAGTAAGTGAAATGTGTCTCAATAAAGTTGTAGTGGTCATGAACTTTGCTGTGTGCTTAGACGTGCTCTGCTCTGTCCTCCTCTCTCACCAGTGGCCTGTATGTGCTGCTCAGAGTCAAGGTGGCTTTGTGGCGTTACATGCGCCAGGGAAGCAATATCCCTTCCATTTTCGCCCAGACAGTAAAACTCCACCCAAATAAACCAGCACTGATCTATGAGGCCACAGGGGAAACGTGGACCTTTGCACAGCTGGACGAGGTCTGTAATGCAGTAGCCCACTGGGCCAGAGGTCAAGGGTGGGTCTCCGGGGATGTGGTGGCCCTCTTCATGGAAAGCAGGCCCTTACAGGTGGCGCTTTGGCTGGGCTTGGCCAAGGTTGGGGTGGAAGCTGCGCTCATCAACTTCAGCCTCCGCTGTGATCCCCTTCTGCACTGCATTGGGGTATCGGGGTCAAGGGCGATTGTGTTCGGAGCTGAACTTGCTGATGGTAAGTATGTGTTAAACAAGTTTGGGACAACCAAGCAGATTAAGTAATAACAATCAAGAATATTATTTGACCTCTTATTTGGTAAATTGTTCTAAACTTTACATGATTACATTGTCATCAAAAATGCTTACCTACCTTGGCTTCAAATTTCCCGTTTAATTAGTTAAATGCATTTCTCTGTAACATCATATGAGTCTGTCAGTGTTATGTGTGGAGTCATCGTATTCAGTGTGATAATGACCGTATCTCCGACATATCATGTGGTCAGGACTTGCTGTTTGCGATCATGCTGCCTGTAAAATTTGTTTTGTACTGTATTTTTGTGAACTTTGTTGACACGTAACTTCTGTGTCTTTGTGGTTTCTAGTCACAATGAAGTCCCTTAGTGTAGTCAGTTTTACAGTCAGTTTTAAATTCTAACTAGTTTGACTTTATACAAAAGAAATGTCACTGAATGAAGTCTTGTTGTTGCAGCAAAATATTAGATTTTTGGCATGTACGTACAGTAATATGGACTGTAGAGAGCTTGGACTGACTTGTTTTCTTCCTCCTCCTGAACGGCAGCCATGATGGAGGTCAATTCCGCCATCAACCAGTCCATGGTACGGTTTTGTACTGGAGACCTCAGTGCAGAACGTTTGGCATCTCTGGGTGCTCATCCTCTAGACCCAATTTTAGCCACTGCCTCAAGACACCCCCCTTCACCTTGTGTTCCCTCCAAAGGCATGAATGGTGAGTACCTTGTCCTCCATTGAACTCAACTCTGCTCCAACACTTTTTATGGTAATGAGAAGTTTTATTTTAAAGACCCTCTTCAGTTTCATTATGCTGTGCTTAGCTGTTCACCTCTGTTTTTGGTCAATTCAGAAATCCCAAAGTGTATGTCCCACAGCCCTTCAATTTTCTCACTCTGCTGTTTAGTTTCTAGACTGAAATTGCTTTTCAGTAATTATTTAACTGAAGCCTGATAAGAGAAATACCTGACTAAATAATGTGAGTCAATTTTAATGTGAGACGGAGACATTTTTTTCTAGACAGCTGTCCGGATTAGACTGTGTACTGTCTTGATAATATAGACCAATGGTAAATCTGCCTTCGATGTATGAATATACTGTATGAATCAGCATTAAAGGTGTGAGCTTGAGATACATGGGACATAACAAACCAGTGGTCTGTATTGCTCGGGCAGAACGAAAACAAAACAATGACTATATTTTCTGTTTTGTTATTCTTTGAGCTTATGTTTGGCAATAAGTTAAATGTGAAGACACTCGTATGTATCTTAAAATTGCACACTGCAATTTTAATGTCTTATTGTATTCTCCTTTGCAGATCGCCTGTTTTATATTTACACCTCTGGGACTACAGGACTGCCCAAGGCTGCCATTGTGGTACACAGTCGGTATGTTTTCTTGAACAGGCACTCGCAAAAAAAAACATCATCCTCTAGATTTGTCTCAGTCGCTGCACAGCTAATAATAAATGTCTAAGAATCTGTTGTTTTCCTGTGACAGCTACTACAGAATTGCTGCTTTTAGCTATTTTGCCTTTCGCATGCGCCGTGATGACGTTGTCTATGACTGCCTGCCTCTTTATCATTCAGCAGGTATGTGATGCTACTCTCCAGCTTTTGGTGAATACACTTTTACACTAAGTTAAATTTGCTTCAATACAAGCTTTCTCTTCTTTTCAGGTAACATCATTGGAGTTGGTCAGTGTCTGATCCATGGCCTCACTGTGGTTGTGAAGAAGAAATTTTCTGCCAGCCGCTTCTGGGAAGATTGCACTAAGTATAACTGCACTGTAAGAGCTTATACTTAAATATTCAGAGGTGCCGTATTTGATTAAATCAATAACTCTAAAACATGAATTTTTCAACAAGTATTGAAACAATAACAAGATGTCTTTCCCCTTGAAGGTGGTGCAGTATATTGGAGAAATCTGCCGCTACCTTTTGTCTCAGCCGGTGCGGCCATCTGAGAGGGGCCACAAAGTTCGGCTGGCAGTGGGAAACGGCCTGCGCCCCAGTGTGTGGGAGGCCTTCACGGAGCGTTTTGGAGTGGCGCAGATTGGCGAGTTCTACGGAGCAACTGAGTGCAACTGCAGCATTGCCAACATGGATGGCAAGGTCAGCAATCATTGAGTTACTTCTGTCTTCGCTCATAAATGTGAAGTGGATCATAGTTTATCTTGTTCTGTCCTGCCAGGTGGGAGCTTGCGGGTTCAACAGTCGCATTCTTCCCAATGTGTACCCTATCCGTCTGGTGAGGGTTGATGAGGACACCATGGAACTTGTTCGGGACAATCGAGGCCTCTGTGTACCTTGCCGCCCTGGTAATAAATATCTGTACTGCAGCAATGACTTTGTTTGATGTCGTCTGTGACATTGAAAAGTATTGATCTTCTAAAAGCACTCAATTAGATTCTTCCATGCTTCACAGGGGAGCCAGGGCTTCTGGTAGGTCGCATCAACCAGCAGGACCCATTACGGCGTTTCGATGGCTATGCTAATCAGGATGCTACAAATAAGAAGATAGCTCACAATGTCTTCAAGAAAAATGATTCTGCATATTTATCAGGTAACCAATCACTTTTGTTTTCTCTCAATACTTATATATATTCACTCAGATCGGCCTTCAGTTATCATTTTAAACATTTGCTACAGTATACCTGAGTGTTTGAGGAGTTCAAGATAAAGATAGTTATTCTTCATGACACATGAAGGATGAAACAAAACATAAAGATAGTTTTGGATTGCAAAATGTCTTTGTTAGTGCTCAGTAGGGGTAATGGGCTTTGATTATTTACCCGTACTTGGACTACACATGGAGTTTTTCGGCCCATAGCTGAAAGTTTGCTTTCTGTCTTCTCAAGGGGACGTGCTGGTGATGGATGATCTGGGCTACATGTACTTCCGCGACCGCAGTGGGGACACCTTCCGCTGGCGAGGGGAAAATGTCTCCACCACTGAGGTGGAGGGTATTCTTAGCAGTCTTTTGGATCAGACTGATGTGGCTGTGTATGGTGTGGCAGTGCCAGGTGATGGTTAAATTTGTATACTTGATTACCGTAGCTTCAAATTGGGACCATAACTGCCATCTCTCTTCAATGCATATTCATTTTGACTGTTCCTACTGTTAAAAGCATTTACCTGCATGTCTTTATCAGGTGTGGAAGGTAAGGCGGGTATGGCTGCGATTGCAGACACTACAGGGACTTTTGACTGCAACAGTTTCTTAAAGAACATCCAGCGAGCTCTTCCTTCTTACGCTCGCCCTGTGTTCCTGCGAATCTCCCCACATGTAGACACCACAGGTAAGCTGTCCCTGTTTTCCTTCTTAGTTTAATAAAATTACAGATGATTTCATAGAAGTAATTTATAATCTGCCGTATGTGTGTCAATATTCATTTACAGGTACATTTAAAATCCAGAAAACCAGGCTGCAGCGGGAGGGATACGACCCACGACTCACAACTGACCAGATCTACTTGTTGAACACGAGAGCTGCACAATATGAGGCTGTGGACGAGGAGCTATACAATGCTATATCAGAGGGAAGAATGTCTCTATGAAATGGAGGCCGTTGCAGGGCAGGCAGGGTGTCTTAGTTTAACAATTGCTGTTGAAAGTTGGACTAACGTATGCATACGGCACTGTCTGCATCACTTAGTTTGGTGCGCACTTTGGCTGGACTATAACCTTTCAGGGAACAGAGTTGAGAGGACTACTTACATAGGCTGTTACAGACGATGTTTTAACACTGTATAAGTAACACACAAAGACATGATGTGAAGGCATTTATACCCTTTTAATAGCTTGTTTTTGATCATTAAGCAAACACCTCATAAAGCCTTGGAGCGTCACCGCACATAGAGTGGATATCCTCCACAACCAGTTTCAAGTAGGATATGTTACAGTAATGTTACTAGGACAAGAAGGGGTAGTATCAAGTCAAACTTTGTTACAGGGTAAGTACCCCCTTTATGAAATATGCTGAAAGGTTAACTTGGTGTAGGTTTAAACAATACTATTGTGTTGCAGCTGTGTGTTTGAATGAGGATGAGATTGGACTTCAACATGCAGTATGTGAGGCTACTAGTTGAAACACTAACCATAGAGTCTTTAAGGTTTTTAATGCAATGGAAAACTAATCCCACTTGTCAGGTATGAACCTCACGGGCACGGGTTGGCAAATACACAAACATTGTTACTGTATGTGCCTTTTATCAAACTCCAGATCTGTTTCTTTTTTCTTTCTTTCTTTTTTATGCTTTTTTCAGGAAGGAAGGAGCTCAAATGAATGTGGAAATCACAGTACTGATTCTGTGTTATGCAAAGCTGAGTCACACATAATGACATGTCATTTTATGTAACAAACCTTTTCATTGTATTAATATATAGGTGTTTAGGGATTGTGAAGATATTTGCAATCTTGGACCTCCCAGATTACATTGTTTTGATGTAACACAAATTAAATATTTTAAAATCAGTTTCATGTCATTTGTAAAAAACCTTTCAGAGGTGACTCTTTCACCTTTCAAGGCAGTGTCCTGCTTTAACTTTATTGTGCAAGCCCATTATCATCTCTTGCAAAAGGAAAGAGGTAAAATCTTCACAAGGCTCAAAACCCCTTCATTTCTTTAATTGGATTTTAATACAAACAAATTTTTCTCTTAGGCGACTTAATAGTCCGTTGATACAGATATCCTTGTGGGTAGGACTTTGAGTGGATGCTCTTTGCAAGCTGTACAAAAGTAGGGAAAGGCCCTGGGTGTGATGATGCCCGTGAAGGTGTAGAGAGGTGTTCTCTCTCCAGGGTCGTAAAAGGTCACCTTCCCTCTGTCCATGTCTAAAATCACTCTTATCACTTCCGGCTTCTTGGTCATGTTGAGCGGCTCCCACGGCGCTGTGCAGGCTTTATGCTCTCCATTGCGAAACCTTATAGTCCAGAATCCCTCCGCTGGTGTTAGCACATGCTTACCCTTCCTGTTGATGGATTCGCTGGCTACTCCCACCACCCAGTAGGTATTGTCGTTCACCTCGACATCCCAGCTATGACGTCCAGAGGAATAGCCCTCAGCACCCAGCATCTCAGCACTGATGTCAAAGCGTTCTGGGTTGTCTGGCAGCTTGAAAATCTGGCTGGAGTTCTGCACTACTGTGAGATTCTCAGACAGGATGAAGCAGCTGGCTGCTGTGTTGGGATCCAGAATCACCGGATCTTGAGAAAAAAATGAGAAGTTACTAATGTGACGGGAAAAGAACAGAACAGCAAAACGTGACTACCATTTAAGAAACTCACTGTATTTTACAACGCTCTTCATCTTCTCCCACACTTTGTATTTCAGAGAGCCCATGTGCTTGGCCACGTCGATCAGAGCACCGGAGATCATTTGTGGATCGAGGGAACGTCGCCAGGTTCTGAGAAGACATTTCAGCAATTAGTTGTTGAGTATTGTTTCTATGAAGCTGTATTATCATAAAAAATAGTGTTATCACTTACCTCCTTATTGTTTCCTTGTAATTCTAAAAACATAATTGGAGAGAACAACCTTTAATGAAATGATATGCCTTTGCATTTACAACAAATTCAGCTTAAATCCAGCCTCTGTTATTCTTATCGCCATATCTACCTTCAGAAATGGGATATCTTGACTTTGCATCTCCTGTTCCACTAATCTGATGGTGTTGGAAAGAGAAGTCACTTCATTGTTCATCTCCTCGATGTTCTGGTTAATAATCAGATTCTTCTGATCCTCCTCAGCCTTTAATGCCGAAAGTCTGGCAGCCTCCTGCTCTTTCAGGAAACGGTGAAGAGCTTCAAATTCCTCTTTGATCTGCGCTTCGGTGTGTTCAGCTTGGTTCTGGAAAGAGACATGATTGATGGGTAATCTTTGCCTCCACACCTTAGCTCTGTCACATGTTCAAAGTACCATTTGGCACTGATGGGGCTGACAGTACCTTGACGTGTTCTGTCATTTCCTCACAGACCATTTTTGCTTTCTTGTACAGCTGCAACTTTTCTTTCAAAGGCAGGAGTGCACTCTTCAGTTCCTCCTAAAAAGTCAGCGACCGGCATCAACTCTTGAAAACAAGGTCAGTATGGCAGGTGGCCAAGCTGTCAATACAATGTGGGGCTTTCAGCTGCCACATACTCTTTCATGGCAGCATTCCATGTATATGCAAAGCTGCGCAATACAGCAGCATCTAGGTAATGGGAGAAATCTAAGGAAAACAATCTATTTCACTGGTACCAGAAGCAAAATGGAAAGCATGCAGCTTAAGAGTCCAGAAAGGAACAAAATCTGGCAACCACTAGATTTATTTCATATTAGCTCTCAAGGTTTCCTGGTCCCCAGAGTAGGCAGAGGAGGGCAGCAGTAGAATGGATGTAGCATTACAGAAACCTTGTGGGAGTCAAGTTTCAGTCCTTTCAGGATCCCAACAGCAACAGCAAACCAAATATATATATCTATTAATAGAATGTTAATGAACTCAGCCAAAAAACCTTCACACATACTGTTAGCATATCTGGCTTACAGAGGTACAAAAGTAGGGAGAAAACAAAAATCGAAACCTATGGCAAAGACAAGAAAAATATGCATTTTTAAATGTTGGCAAGTTGTAAAGTAAAATAATGCCCATACACAATGTGACACCTCTTCTGTTTATGAAATACTATATAGCCTTTGAGACGTCATGTGTAAATTTGCAAAATAACCAAACAAATGTGATTTTCAAATGAAAGAAATGATCTTCTTATGTTAATTCTGAAGGCTCACCCTTTCTATTGTTGACCTTAGGTTCTAGTTAGTATAGATACACATGTGGTTCACCATTCAAACAATGTGAATTGGTTTCCCAGCCATGGATTGAGCTGCATGTCTAGACTAAAACTTTTTTCTAGGGGAGATCGTTGTAGAATTTTTCTTTTAGAACAAGAGTAGGTGTGATCCATGTCTGGGATACAGGCTGAGAGACAGATATTTCAACAAACATTTCATCATCATTCATTCCAGCTGCAATCACTGGCAGGAAAAAAGAGGAAAACATTATGGGTAATGCAAGATTTCTTAAGCAGCTCATGTTGCAGTGAAGTGTGCAATGAAAGTGTCCTAATATAAAACACTGTGACCTTAACATGCCTACCTTACAGTCATGAGCACCTTCCCTAATGGGATAGAGCCTGTGTCCAATGTGTGCAGCTGCCTTCCCACACACACCACAGATCGGCTCCAAGTCCTCCAAACAGAAGAGTGTAAGCTTTTCTCCATGTTCTTGACAAGCGTCTGGGTCATTCTTGCTTCTATCTTCCTTGAAGGATTCACAGGCCTTAGCCAGCACAGAGCTCACCACTATTTGATCCATGGAGGAACGGCGCCAGCACAGAGGACAGTAGTGTGACTCCCCACTGCCTTGTGAGTCCCAGCTGTCTGTTAGACAGGCTTTACAAAATCTGTGTCTGCATGTCAGTACCACTGGCTGACTCAGAATGTTTCCACAAATTGGACAGGAAAGGTCATCCTCAGCGTGAGCACGTCTGGTAGCCATTCTTAATCACAGGGCTTTGATGATAAGGCATGATCCCAAGCCCCTCCCACGTCTCAGGAAAAGCTACCTCATCTTAACCTCAGAAATAAGTGTTAATACCTCAGCTCCCGAAGGCATATCCCGTGTTATGCTGTGTTGTGTTGAGCATGCACGTTGCACATTCTCAAATAAACACCAGCCCTCAGAATAAAATTAATTTCACTTTGCATTCAGGAGATTGTATCTGTGCAGATCAAATAATATAAACCCGAGGATGACAGAAGAGAGCGAGGCGATAATGTGATATCTGCACTCAAGAAGGTGTTTTGATTACAGATATGTTATGATCATGCCCAGTTATTTGGGAGGTCTGCGAAAACAACCAGTCACGGTGTAATGAAAGAGTTTACTGAGAAACAATGTCCAAAATAAGCCTCAGAGTGAGGGATATAAATAGACAGAAGCGGTGAGCACTGGAACATTTTTTTCACTGTCAATTTTAGCTTTGGGCATCAGCTTTTTAGGAACTGACTCAAAGTATGACAGTCAAATATCCCTTCTGATATAAAAACAAGAAAAAGTTCATTTATTATTTAATTAACCAAAATCAAAGTGTGTGCACAGTAGCATGGCCATGCTGAAGGTTAATTTGTTAATTTCAAAGTATTTAACAGTAAGCTGAGCCGGTTTGTACTGTAATCCAGTATTTTGTTGTGCAACTGAGTTATGACTGCTGCCCCAAAATAGGTCGTGTGTGTTGATAGAGAAGGAGCATAGGGAACGTGATCCTGCCAATAGAAAACACTGTTTGGGTCAGTGCTGCTTTAGGTCTTGTTGACAAAAATGTCTGTGATGGCCGTGGCATCTCACATATGCTATGGAAGGTCACATACCAGATAGAAGAGCTGTTTTTTTACATTACTGACATTCCCTGATTAGAGATTTTCTCAGCATTCTGATTTAAATTATTATTATAGTGTAGTAGAAAGTGTTAGAGTAGTAAATACAGACTTAATTTCTTTTCCATATCCACAGTCCTCTAAAAGCCTCCTAATACATCCCAGCAATCCATGTCAACATGAGAGAAATTACAAGTAAAGGGGCATTTTCGATGCATTCTATTTACATTTTATTTAAAATCACACACCCAAAGCAACCCTCCCCAAATACGTAATGGTCTTGTTGAGAAGCTATAATCAAAGTTTGATTTGTGTTCATGCCAGTGCGAGGGGCACGAGTTCAGAGCCATTGATAGTAACAGCAAACTGACAAGAGTCAACAGACCTCCACGTGCAAATGTACACACAGTGCAGCCATGCAAAATTAGTTCTTGCTCTGCATGTGGCCACATAGCAAACATTCCTTTTATTATACACGTATTTTATTTGAAGTCACATTATGTGTGTATATGAATATTCCATAACATTCATTTTCCATTTAAACTACTTTAAACATTCAAGTTTAATGGTTTTATTTGATAATTGTGCACTGTTTTCAAAATTAGTCATTAGTGAACAACAGTTTATTTATCTGACAATGGCTTTTAAATGCTTAAGAAGAAAGTAGTTGAGAAAAAAACATCTTTACTGCTTTACTCTGTAGGTGTATATTTGCAAATGTGTGTGCATGTAAGTAAGAGATAATGAGGAGGTTAAAAGGTGTTACAAAGAAAGAAAGCATTAACTTTACCTTGTGCTAATGCAGCAGTTTTTTATTCTGCTTACCTTACAATCCTTGAATGCCTCCTTTATGGGATACACTGTGTGATTAATATGCAGGCCTGATCTGTGACACACAGAGCAGACAGGCTCCAGATCGGCCACACAGAGGAGAAGCAGTCTCTCGCCATGTGCTTCACATGATTTATGTGGAAGTCCAAGACTCTCTTTAAAGCAGAGAGGACACTCTTTCGTACCATGTTGTATCCAAAACTGCTCCAAACAGAAATTACAAAAGCTACGACCACAACCAATGCAGCAGAGGACTACTGGAGTCAGGAAGATTTGTCCACAGACAGCGCAGTGGGACTCGTCCACACTCTGACATGGGATGTCGACCTCCATCTGTGAAATTCAATGCAGCACTGATGGGTCTCTTCCAGGCAGTAAAATTTATATTCCCCGTGCAAGTACACTATGTACTTGCATGTTCTCCTACATATAGTCCTGCAGCAGAGGAGAGAGAGAGAGTGACCCAGTTCATCTATCAACACGTGCATTAAAGGGAAGTTTTCAGATTAGCTTCAAACCAGGATAATAAAAAACTGGACACACAAATTCAGAGATATATTCCACTCATATAGAGATGGTGGAAAGAGATATATGAATCAAATGATGAGCCCTTCAACATGATGAGTCCTAGTATCAATACTCCATTATTTATACAATTGCAATGTAAGCTAAAAATCTTTAAATTAAGTACAAATCTTTTTGTCTCTATCTAGAAACATTTGTTGTCCATGATTTAAGTCTTTGGCTGCCCATGAACTATAACATTTACTGCTGAGTTACTCAGTTTTAGAGATTAAGAGGCACTAATTAAAAATATCAAATTACTGACGAGACCATTTTCAGAGGCATTTACAGTGTAACACAGAGGACAAGGATAATTAGTGGTAGCACTCATTTTTGTATTTTAACAGCAGAAACTGCATTTTTCAAAGGGAAATTCCCTTCAAGAATACTAATTCTATGTTATCGTAACTTAATTTGTCTGCTGCCTTCTCCTCCTTCCCCCATGCACACCTTAAACAGTATTTCTAATGAACTAGGTTCTGTCTGATGTGTTCAAATAAAACAAGTTGTTTTTTTAATCACATGGTCAACTTTATTGATTTTCACAAAGGAATGACAAAAGTGCAAAACAAAACCACACAAACATCAACACGAATGCAGAACAGAACAAGCTGACACTGTACAGATGAAGGAAAATATATATTAGCTGATAAACATATAAGGAGAAATGGAATTAAAAGCTGAAGGTGTGTAAGGTAAAATTTCTCTTCTGTTGCACCTGTGAAGAGGTGTAACACAATGGGTCTACCCAGAATATATGCCAGAGTTCAGTCATCAATACCTTCCAAAGTTTAAAATCTCAGCTGAGCTGAGTAAACAATCGACATGTGACATTTCTTTTCTGGCTGTTGTGATTAAGGCAAGCCTGAATGCATGGTCCCGTTGCACTCAGAAAAAAAACAAAAAAACAAAAAAAAAACAGTAGTTCACATGTTCAAATGACAAGACAAAAATGTGCAGTTTAATTCTGAAATGTATGTCAGCTTGACGTAAAACACCATGAACATTTCATTTAGCAGTAAAAAAGAAAAGAAAAAAAAAGTCTGCTGACAGAACATGCTGGGAACTCAAGATGTGGCCGTATCATCACCACCAATAGTATTTACATGCTCCAAATCAAATTTACATTGAAAGAATTAACTATTCATTTGATTTTTAAATTGTGAAGGGAATTAAATATGTGTTTTGATTAAAATGTTTAATTTCTAATATTTCACAATATTCTCCTCATCACAAGGAAAAGAAATTCAAAAACATATCAGCTGTTTTTGACAATATGTAGCCAGTGTCTCTCTGACAAATCATCATTTTTAATCATACTTAATACTTTTTGGCTTCAATAAGATGTAATAACCTTCTCCAGTACAACTGTATTATTACTCCTGTCGTCACTCCTCCCTGACCAGAGGTAACTATGGTACAATAACTTCACATCAGTTTTCTGTCAGGGTGATCAGACGCACGTCCAGACCGCTGGTGTCGGACTTCCAGGTGCTTGCTCTGGACACGGTCAAAATGCTGCAGCAGCTCGTTGCAATCCATCTGAGCGTGAGAGAGCCGCTTAGAGGCCATGTACTTGGATTCATCCACAGTCCTCATGAGTTCTGGGTTGGGGACACAACTCAAGCGGTGGGAGAGCAGCTGGAAGGCCTGGCTCTGTGGCAGCAGCATCAGCAGACCATACAGTGCCTTTATCAGGTATGGGTTGTTCTCCACATCCAGAAGCTGCAAACGCAAGTAGGTAAAAATTGGGCTTTCTATGAGTTGTACCAGCTTGTCGACCTCCATGAGGAAGTCTACCGTCACCTCCAGATTTCCAAACCTCTGTATGAGATCGTAGGCATGCTTGTAGTTCTGTGTGAGGAAACACAGCGACACAGTGGCCACGGGGTTGTGACACCAGGAACGATACAGGCAGCAAAACAAAGCACAGCTCTCCTGAGTGCGCAGGTCTTTTAGCTGGTTGCGCAACTGGAAGAGTTCAGCAGACGTGAGCAGGATGGTGTTGAGCGTCTGAACCATGGTGGAGGCAAATTTAAGGTCCTCCTCCTTTAGCAAGATGTCAGCCATTGAGTGGAAGATGTTCTCTGCATGAAGCAGCAGACACAACTGTCTGATGATGAAAGCTCCTCTGTTTTCCAGAAGCTTCCTCTCCAGACTGAAACGCTTCAGCAGGTTGATCATGAACTTGTAAAAATAAGAGTTCATACTGGGAGTGGAAGGGGATGAGTCCACTGCTTTAGAACCTGTGCTGGGCTGCTGTCCTGGTTTGGCACCCTCTGGAACCTTCAGCTCCAGTTTGTTGTCAGTGCTGTCGCAAGAGGAGGCCTGGTCTGTTTGGCCAGCAGGGGATGATGCTATCTCAGCCAACACCTCCAGATCTTTCAGTATCACTTCATCAGACTCATCTGACAGCGTTTTCAGCAGCATGGGAAACAGGCTGTCTGTGTGGCGGAACATTTTGCGTGGCGTCTTGATGTAGAGGTGATAAAGCCATTTAAGCACAGCTATGCGGGTCATCATGCCAGTAGAGGAGTCATGCAGATGGCGATCCAACACCTGAACAATACCATCCAGGTCCAGAGTTACTTGAGGCCTATCAGCACTTGCTGGATTGAAGAAACTAATATTACTGAAACCAACAGATTCTTGTGATGCATTCAGCATGTCATTGCCGTCTGCCTCCGTTTTGGGCTGGCCGTCTTCCCGGGACGGTGACCCTGTGCTTCCACTTTTTTCATCCTCCTCCTCCTCATCATCCTCAGGAGTCACTAGTTTCATCAGACTGTGATTACATGCACTGGCTGCTTCTTTGGTATTCTTCTTTCTGTCATCATAGGAGAGACATGGCAGCACTGCAGTAAGGATGCCAGACGAGTACGGGAGCACCACTCTGCCTGCAAGCTGGATAAACTCTCTCATCCACGTCATAGCTGTCAGCTG